TGGGTCTAGAATAGATGTCTGTGACATCTATTAAAATACTGTTTCTTCATACTACTACATGGTGTTTTCTATAGTTTTACGCTCAGATCATTAACATTGGCAAATAGCAGTAATCTTGTTGGTAGGTCTTTCATTTGCAAGGATTTTTTAAAAGTATGTTAATGGACCCCAACATAGCTGGGTCTTATTTTATTTCTAGTGCCAGAGTTCCCCAGACTTTGCTGGGGCTTATGCTTAGCATTCTGAATCAGTGCTGTTCAAAGCATGGCCTGTGGCGTAATGGTGGTTCATAAACTGTTTGTTATTGGTCTCCAGTAAGTACAGTACAGAAGTGGAATGTTTAGAAGCCTTCACAATTTGGCATTGCAGATTGCAGATATATCTAAGCAGGCAGTAAGTGAACAAAGTTTATTGAGCAGGTCACAGTCTGCTTGTGCTAATGGCACACTCATGATGATTTCTGTTTGGCGGAGCTATGCGATAGCTGTGTGATAGTTGTACATGAAGAAATTTATTTCACTCCGTGCAAAATGGTGGTGATGAGATAATGGCTATTCCTAAAGAGACCATTTAAGAAGGATTGATCCAAATAATGATGTATATTGTGTATTTTATACCTTCAAATGAATTCAAATAGTTTTTGTAGTAGTATATTCAGTCATTTCAAATAAATTACTGAGAAGGTCCAATTCTATTTTTTTTCCTGGGTAGCCAGTCCCTTTAATCTCAAATTGTATACTTACAATTGTATACTTACCTCTTCCACGGTACCACACGTCACATGAAGGCAAAAATTGAATTCTAAACATAGGTGTTTTACTTGTGCTAGAAACAAAACTCAAAGCATCTGTACCCCATCAGTTGGTAATAGATGTTACTACACTGGGCAAGGAGAGTATAAAGGTTGTCACTATTCAGGAGACAATATAGCTTAGGAATTGAGAATCCAAGCTCTGAAACAAGAATGTCCGATTTAAGCTCCACCACTTAGTAGCTGTGTAACATTGGGCAAGTTACTTAAACTTTCTGAGCCTCAACTTTCTTACATATAAAATGATGATCATGGAAATGGTCCCATGTCATAAGTTTGTTTGGAAAAAAACTCAGTGAAGATTGTCATCATTATTTTTGGTACTATTTCATGCATTTAGAGCAGAGAAGAACACTATGATAATCCACATTTCTGTCCAATGCACACATAGCTGTTTTGAGCCTTAATAGTGGATGAAAAAAATACAAGTATGCAAGTTTTAACTGTGTGTTTTTATTCTCTTCTTAATTTTCCTAACCCAATAGATTTTTCTTTCTTTTTTTTTTCCCCTGACTCTTAACTTTTCTACAAGTAGGTCTCTGTATCTTTGTTCACTCCAGTTTTCAAATTTTCTCCCTTGTTATCAGTCTTTATACAATAAACATTGATTATGAATCTAACAGGTGCCAGGCAGTATTACTGGTCCTTGGGATAAAGAAAGGAATCAAATACTGTTTCTGTTTTTAAGAAGTCTACAATTTCATTTGGGCTACTGCATATGTAATAAAGATGAGTATTGTAAATGTTATGATAGATACATGGCTGAGGTATAGAGGAGATTTAAAAAGAAAAGTCTCAGAATTCTGTGATATGAAACATTCTATAAGTGATGTTTCAGCTGATCATAAAAAAATGAAAGTGGTCTTCAAGAGGACTGGGCAAAGGTGATCAGATGAAATATGTGTTAGTTATAGCTAATGAAACTAGGAATCATTCCATATAAGCATATAGAGAAAACTTTTGTTTTTACAGGAGGAGGTTGGTGGTAAAATATATCCACAATTAGCTCCAGAGCTCTGTCAAAACAACAGTCCCTAACTTTTACAAGGCAGGAGAGAAATCAAAGTTTGCATTCAGTGTTTTGCACCAGACCTCTCTTTTTCAGAAAATCTGTGATTTTCTTCCTTCTGTTTGCTTTATTTTGCTGTGGCCAAAGAAACAGTCAGGAAACAATATAATCAATTTGTTTAATATCACAAAGGAAAAATAAGACGGTTGCTTGGTTAGAGTAGGGAAGCAAAGTGGAGATAAATACCTAGCCATGGAAAGCAGAAAGGAAGCCAATGCCTGTCAAGCAAGAATGGCCATCCAGGATGCAACAAACGAGGAGATTCCAGAACCCAGGCTCAGATGTATGAAGTACAGAAAACAGCCCTGGAATATGATGAGCCAGAAGAGAATTTCTGGACTGAGGAATTAAGTGGCAGGAAAATACCAAACTGTAGGAGTAATTCTTAGCAAAATGACTACTCTTGCGGCAAGTTACAAATTCAGTATATTTAAATCGGTGACTATTTTCACACCTTAGTTCTGATTTCCTGCATGCACTTTCAGGAAAGAAAGATGGAAATGTTATAAGCTAGAATTCCCATCACTCACTTTATCTTTTCCTAACTTTTAGTCTCCTAAAGAAATATAGACAATAATGCTTTTATTTCCAATATATATGGCTAAGACTAAGTAAAGGGAGAAAGCAAAGTTTGTGTATACAATTGGATGAGTTGTTTCCCTTCTTATATGCTCACTAACATTGAATCACCTTTGTATTCAACCTGCACATATAAGCACACACACACTTCAACACATTGGCAGAAGATAGTTTAGATACCCTTGAGTAATATACTATAACTAAGTACCTAATTTAAATCTTTGCCAGGAAGTTGGAAAGAGAGGGAAAGGAATATAATGGATTTTAGCTTTAATTTGTGAAAAATATCTCTGCCTGTTGTAAGTCAAGGTGGAGAATGGAAAAAGATCCTTCTATGAAAACTGGGTTTTGTGTGACTGACACATACTGCATTTTTAATAACACAGACTGAAATGCATTATTCAGAATTCACTGTTGTCCAGCAATTCAGTTCTGCTGTAGATCTTCATATTTCTAGTAAGTCTGTTGTCTGCAAAAATTCAAATTCTTTTTCTGATTAATACTAGTAGCCAAGATAGTACTTGTCTACCTAAGTAGAATGTAGTGAATAACCACGAGAAATTATTGTAACATATTTCAATGGGTCAGGTAATTTTGAGTTAGCATTTAGTGTGAAACATCTCAATGAATACCTAAATATGTCTAGCCATTTTGATTTTTATTTTCCTTTGACTGGTAAGAATAACATCATATTTACACAAAGGAAACTATCCTTGTCAGGGGACAAAGCATAGGTGTAGATGTCACTTCTTAACAGCTGCACTAAAACCCTATTAAAGTTCAGAAATTCTTGAAGTGTGGGATGGTATATTTAAAGATGATATTACTTATTGTATTCATCTAATAAAGGAATAGTCTCAACTTTTCAAAATCAAATACAGGAAAACCTTGGATTGAGATTAATTTGTTCTGCAAGTGTTCCACAAGATAAGCAAACATTTCTAATACATTTTAACTTGATAAGCGAGTGATGTGCAATACGAGTAGTATGTGACACCGAAAGATACATGATTACAACTGAGCCAATGGTTCTTGAAATTCACTTTCATGTACAAATGCTTTGGATTACAAGCATGTTTCTGGAATGAATTATTCTCACAAACCAAGGTTTTACTGTAATCAGCACAATTTAAGGTAAGTTATCTTGTATAGATACAACTCTTCCACCAAGATGATATGATCCGTCAACTGTATGCCTTTGTTACTTGATATTTAGCATTCCTGCTTATTTTCATGCAAGAATAACCCCTGTAAGTTCATGATCTGCAGTAATGTAATTATTATTCTAATTCACCATATGGTTTTGGTGAAGAATCATTGAAGTAACATATTCAAAATGTTCAGTGTAAATCCAAGGAATCCTGACAACATGTGTCTAGAATGTGGGAATATAATCTCATGAAGTAAGTGATCACAGGCTAGAAACAAGCAACTGGTCTCAAGAAATGTTAGGGACAAAAAGTACAGAAAGACATGAAGTTCATCGGGATGGACTTAAATTAATTGACAAATGTCTTACATATTTTTCTTTTCTGTATGGGACACATTACAACGATGAATGTCTTTTCCAGGAAAATAATTATCTTCAACCATGAGGAAAACCCTCCTCCGATTTCTTATTTTATTCCTAATTAAAAATCAGTAGATGAAGGGGAGGAAGCAGTCAACATGACAAAGAACAGAGGAGTAAGACCGGTGCACAAGTGAAGAGGAAAAGGGAGAGGGACGTAATGAGGTGAGAAGAGGGGCAGTGATGTTGAACATGTGGACACCGCACCTCCTCTCTCCATCATCTCCTTCAAGTATGAAGGAGACAAAAAAAAAAGTTTCTAAACATACCAATTCACTTTTTTAAAAATGTAATTTTTATATATACCTATACCCATCTCTTTGCTCAGTCCGTCTTTCAAAGAACACACACACACACACGCATACACTCCACATTTTCATACACTGGACAATCGAATCTATTCAATCTAATCTTACTGAAAAATTTATAGCTAAAATTGAAGTTTCCTGTCATTTGTATATTACTTTCACTTGAGCAAGCTTATGTGTTTTTGGACATAAATAACTATATTCATTACTAAGTAAATAATAATAGACAAAAATATTAAATAACTTCATATATAGCTTATAAAAATTATAATTACCTTTTTATTCCAAGTGCTTGAAAGATCAAAAAATAGTAAAAAATAAGTTTAAAATGTTGAGTATAATTGTTAGTATCTTATGCCGTTGGACATCAGATATCTTCTCAGACTTTTTAACATATCTTGGTTATTGATACCTTTTTTTCCCCTGCCACATACCAGGTTTATCCAGAAATTTGGCTTTTCTCTTCTCTTCATTTCATTGCAAGAAATAAAAATTATGGGATATTCAAAGGTGAGTAGAGCAGTGGCTGGCCCCTGAAATAATCAATGTTACAATACACTGAGGTAAAAGAATGATATATGGTTTTCCTTATATCGTTTAGAAAATACTAAGATAGTTTTCTTTTTCTCCCACCGTGGTATATGCAGTTGACTGTTCCTCACTATGTCTTCTCATAAGACTTTTAGGATCAAGCTACTCCTGGCCAAAAGACAAAAGCAGAATGGTCCCATTCCGCAGGAGATTCAGATGAAAACTGACCATGAGCTCAGGTACAACTCCACAAAGAGTCACTGGACAAAATCAGAGCTGGGTCTATAAGGGATCACACATTCAATGGCACACATATGGATGCCATATGTAGGTCCTGTATTTGTACCTTATCATTCTGTAAACATCACCACTACTTGAATAATAGACATGTTTTACTGGGGAAATGATTTTTCTCTTTTACTATGCTTCTGCATCAGTAGTTTGGTTCAATAACAAATATGTGAGAACTTTTGTTTGAAAAAGAAAAAGAAAGAAAAAAAGAGAGCACTGAGATAAGTCTTTCATTATAAAAAAAATCAGACAAATTTTCTAAGTTAGATTTCCTACCCTTTATAACTCCAAAATAATAGCATACCACTGAAGGCAATTGCCTCCTTGGAGTTACTGAAGATAAAGTTTTTCCCTGGAGAATTTATTTTTGAAAATTTCCTAGTTCATAATTAACCATTTAGTTGCATTTGTACAGAATTTCAAAACGTGCCATGCAATATTTCAGTAGTGATGGGAAGAGTTTAATTAACTTGGAAAGTTCATGCCAGAGGCTTCTCCTTTTAGTTATAAATTTCTATTTTCCTCTCCTCTTCAAATTATTTGGATTCATTTTCCTACCTCATTCTGTAGATCATGATAATGCTCAATAAAATCTGCAAGTGCTAGGCAAAGTGCATGGAAGAAACAGAAAAAGCTTTCCCATTTATGGTAAATGTTGTATATTGTGATATGATATGGTCTTTATTTTTTTAACATATAAAATGAAAGCAAAACAAAAGAACTTTATACTATATTTTTCTATCCCTGAAAGACATTTAATTCATTTACATTTAGTGTAATTACTGAGAGTTCTTATATTTACTAACACATTTGATTTACAGTTATTTTTTTCTTTTTTATTTCTCTTAATCAGATATATTTTTATCCCACTTCTTACTTAATTTACAGTTATACATCCTCTTTATTTAGTGTTAAAAGAAAATTATAATATACATTTCTGAGTTCTCACAGTCTAATACAAGTTACCTTTATTACATCTAGATAATGCTAAAACTTTACAATATTTTAGTTTCATTTATAATTCTCTCAACTGTTTACATTATTTTACTTTGTATTTTAATTTATATTACCCACATATATACAGTTTCCAGTGTTTGTCATTGCCATTTTAATTTCCATGATTCTATTTGCCATTATTTTTTTTCTGACCAGGAAATATTTCTCTCAATATGTAAATAAGATTTATTGAGATGTAACTTAGTGCATTAAAATAAATAGCTCTTATGTACACATCAATGAGTTTATTTAATGATTTTTACTTTTCTCTTTGAAGTGATTATAAATCCTCCAGAATTTGCATAGATAATACAAAAATTTCTGTGCACTCTTTTATAAAAATTTATTTCAGAGAGAGAGAGAGACAGCGTAAGCAGGAGAGGGTCAGAGAGAGAAGGAGGCACAAAATCTGAAGCAGGCATCAGGCTCTGAGCTAGCTGTCAGCACAGAGCCTGACACAGGGCTCGAACCCACGAACTGCAAGATCATGACCTGAGCCGAAGTCGTCCGCTTAACCGACTGAGCCACCCAGGTGCCCCCTGTGCACTCTTTAAAACTTTCCCCCAAGGTTATAATCTTTCTAACTAAATTACACCATCAGTTCCAAGAAGTTGACACTGGAATAAAATGTGTATATAGTTCTAGATCATTTATTATATATCTAGATTTGTGTAGCCACCACCATAATCAAGATACAGAACTCTCCCATCACCACAGAAATCTCTTTATAGTGTCATACACTTCTCTCCCTAACCTCTGACCATCTTTTCTGTATCTCAATAATTTTGTCATTTTGAGAATGCTGCATAATGGAATCATTATGAGACCTCTGAAATTGGCTTTTTTCACAAGGAGTAATGTTGTTGAGATGTATTCAAGTTATTGCATGTATCAATAGTTTATTCCTTTTTATTGCTAAATAGCATTTCATATAATGGATTTATCACAGTTTCTTTAACCATTTCTTATTGTAGGAGATTTTGGTTGTTTCTATGTTTGACAAAAAGAAATAAAGCTGCTATGAACAATTGTGTATGCTTTTTTATGTAGACATAAGCTTTCCTATCTCTAGGGTAATTGTGATTTCTGGGTTCTATGAAAAGTATATGTTTAGTTTTTTAAGAAAGTATCCAACTGGGCACCTGGGTGGTTCAGTCATTTAGCATCTGACTTTGGCTCAGGTCCTAATCTCACAGTTTGTGAATTTAAGTCCCACACTAGGTGAGCTAGAGTCCTGCTTCCAGTGAGCTTGTGCCCCCTCACTTCAGGGGAGCAGAAGCTCTGCTTTGGATAAAACACAAGCCGAGCCCCGGACGAGCCCTGCTTTCTCTCTCTCTGCCCCTCTGGGACTCTCTCTCTTACCCCGCCCCTCACTCACGTGAGCCCTTTCTCTCTCTCTCTCAAAAAAAAAGTGCCAAAACTATTTTTCAGAGTGGTTCTGTAATACTGAATTCCCACCAGTTCCTCCACACCCTTCAGCATTTAATATTTTAAGGTAAAAAAAAAAATTAGGTGCATGAAGATAGTTTATCATGGTCTTAAATCACATTTTTCCCAGTAGTTAGTGATGTTAAACATATTTTTATGTTTATTGGCCATTTATATATTATATATCCTCTTTGGCAAAGATATGTTCATGTCTTTGTTCATTTTCAAATTGTAATTCTTCTTACTATTGAGTTTAAAAATTCTTTGTCATCTAGACATCAGTCTTTTCATAGACATGTTGTTTGCAAATATTTCTCCCAGTCTGCAGGTGAGGAGGTCTTTTAACCCTCTTTATAAGATCTTTCACAGAGAAAAATGTTAATTTTGACACAGTTTAATTTTTCTATTTTTTCCTTTACTGGATTATGTTTTGGCGTCATGTCTAAAATATTTTCACCAAACAACCACCACTGTAATAAGTGGCAAATCCCATTTCTAAAGTTGTTACATTATATTATTTGAAATTTCTAATTTTCAATAAAAGTTATGAGACATGCAAAGAAAGAAGAAAGTATGGCCCCATATACAAGGGGGGAAATAACCAATAAAAGCTGTCCCTAAGCAGGCTCAGATAACCTAGAAAGTAAGGGCAATATTCAAGAAGAGCATAAAGTTAGGACTTCCACAATCATATATCAGATCCTACTAAAAAATGGACAAACAGAAAAACTAGGATAATTAATGTCAGCATGGCATTGGTGCAAAGATAAGAAGTTACAAAAAGAAACACAATAATCTAAAAACAGGCCCACAGACAATCACTTTTTGGCATATAACAGACACCACTGGAACTATGTGAGGAAGAAAAAATTTAACTAAAACATGCTGGGTGAATTAAATTTTTATTAGGGAAAAATGAATCTTGACACTATGAAAATATACAAAATAAATTTGGGATGGATCATAAACCTAAAAATGAAAATTAAGCAGTCAAACTTCAAGATGTCTTTAAGACAGGTAAAGTTTACTTAAACCAAAAAGGGAAGATTGATATTAAATTTAAGAATTACTGGGGCACTTGGGTGGCTCAGTCAGTAAGCGTTAGACTTAGGCTCAAGTCACGATCTCACAGTTCATGGGTTTGAGCCCCACATTAGTCTCTGTGCTGACAGCTCAAACCTGGAGCCTATTTCAAATTCTGTACCTCCTTATCTCTCTGCCCTTCTGCTACTCATGCCTTATCTCTCTGTGTTTCTCAAAAATAAAAAAAAAAGTTAAAAAATTTTTAAAAAAAAGAATGACAATTTATCAAGAGACACCATTAAAAAAGTGATGATACAGGCTAGTAGAATGATTTGACATACTTTGTATTAAATAAATGGCTCATTCCATTATATGTAAAGCACTCTAACAACAAAAAAGTTCAAATAACACCATTGGAAAATTAGCAAGAATGGACAAATACTTCACACAAAGAGGATGGAAAAAAAATGCTCAGTTGACATATGTAGCGTCTTGACATCATTACCAGCAGATAATTTCAAATTTAATTTGCAGACCAGAAAGACTAAAATGAAAAAGACTGACAATACTAAGGTTTTTTTTTTTTTAATTTTTAATTTATTTCTGAGAGAGAGATAGAGAGACAGTGTGAGCAGGTCAGAGAGAGAAGGAGATACAGAATCTGAAGCAGCGTCCAGGCCCTGAGTTAGCTGTCAGCACAGAACTCGATGTGGCGCTCGAGCCCACAAATCATGAGATCATGACCTGAGCTGAAGTTGGACGTTTAACTGACTGAGCTACCCAAGCACCCCTGACAATACTAAATTTTGATAAGGATATAAAGCAATTGCAACTATATTCTATTGCTGATCTGAAGATAAATTTATTAAACAACTTATAAAAATACTTTGGCATTTCTTAATGAAAATAAACATGTATATAACCCATAAATCAGTAGTTTTGCTCTTGGATATATTTATACCACAGAATGAGTGCTTATAATCACAAAACACACATACAGATAAAATCATAGTATCTTTATTTATAATAGCCGAACACTTGAGGGAACATAATGTAAGAATGCATAAATATATTGTGATTCATTCATACTATGGACATCACAACACAATGAAAAACATACTACTGAAATGTACAAGAATGTGACAATTGTAAAAACATGATTATAAGTGAATTAAGTCAAGAACAAACGATTGCATACAGTATAATTTTTTTTATAACAAGATAAAATTAATCTACAGTAGTAAAAATGAGAATAATGGTTAACATGAAAAGTTTACTGATAGGAAACATAGTAGATTCTTGGAAATATACTATTTAGGGTTATAAGTATATAGATGTACACTCATGTAAAAATATAATTGATCTGTGAAACTTAGATTTATTCATCTTACTGTATGTGTTGTATCTCAATAAAAATAAACATTGAAAAAACACTTTTTAAATGTACAGCAGATAGGATTTGCTAATAATTGAACTGAGAATTCTGAGAAATAAAGTGAAAGATTATTTCATGGTTTTTCTTGAGTAAATGGAAAACTAGAGTCACCAAT